AAGCAACGTACAAGATAGGTGTATACTTTGGTCCATTAACATATGCTATTTTGCAAATGATTAGTATTTGAGACTTTGTTTATATTTTATCATTTGATAAGTATTTGACATTGCTCTTAGAGTACCTTAATACAATTTGGACTTCCATGGATTAGAATGTTTAAGTTCATAAACTTGTTATTTGTGGTGGTTGTGTTGAAGATATGGTATATGGACTTTGCTGGCTGAAAATAGTAGGTTTTACAAGTACACTTGCAGGTTTTTTTTTTGGCTGATTTACTGATATTTGTAAAAAAAAAAAAAAAAAAAAATTACAGCAAAAACCGCTACTTCAAGTAGCGGTGTATGAAATTGAAACTGCTACTTGAAGTAGCGATTTATTCCCAGAACACCGCTACTTCAAGTAGCGGTTTGTTGTTGGACCGATAAAAAAAAAAACCGATTTTTTTTCCTTAACTAACGTGGACGGTACAGTGAGAATTAAAAAATAAATTGGCTGTGATTTGGGGATTAGATAATTTCCCAACATTATTTAGGGAAAGGACTCAAACTTTTATTGAATAATAATAACATAACATATCCAAGAAAAAAAAACACATATCCAAGAAAAAAAACCCTTTTTCTCTCTCTTTTAATTTTCTACCCATCCCCACCCAAATACAATACATTTAACCCTTTCTCTCTTCCACAATCCCACCACCATTATCAACTACGGAGTATTCCTCTCTCCTCACCAAATCACCCGCCCTTTAATTTACACCCACCGAACAAAACAACCAATCAACACAGTCACTGTTGTAAATTTAATTATGGGTTTTTCTAAGCTATACCCCTAAGGTAGTCGAGTTTCTAAGGTGTACCCATGCTTTTTCAAGTTTCTAAGCCGTGCCCTTCAACTGCATATCAATACTAAATTGTACCCTTATTAGTTGTTTAAAAGTTAATTGAGAATGTGATTTCGTGGCTTTAGTTTTCGTTATTAGGGTTGCCGGTGGCTAAGATTTTTTCTCCTATCATTTCCTTACCTTTTATCATCTTTTTATTAAATTTATAGTTAACTTTAGGTGACGTGGAAATCCCAAGGAGGGTACCATTCGTTAATGGTAGTGAGTTGAAGGGCACAACTTAGAAATTTGAAAAAGCATGTGTACACCTTAGAAATTCGACTATCTTAGGGGCATAGCTTAGAAAAAACCCTTTAATTATTGTATCAAATCATCATCATTATATTGTATTCATACAATTATCTTGGTTTATATTCATATTTTCCGAGGATTTATTTACCTCCAGTAAAGGTAATTTCTTTCCTTTCCTTTTCATCTAACCTTCAATTTTACACCCTTTTGATTTGATTCATATATCATCCTGTTGTTACTTATAATAATTTGGGCGTTGATTTGTTGATGTAATGACAATTCGAATTCCTAATACTTAGTTTATTAATTTCTGTGCATTAATTAAAATTCTAGGTGGCTCGAATTACAAGGTGTACCCATGCTTTTTCAAGTTTCTAAGCCGTGCCAACTTGGCACAATCTTGTAATTCGAGCCACCTAGAATTAATTAATTGTGCCAAGTTCTGCGTTTCATTTATAAATTACGGTCTTTTCACTTAGGATGATATTATCAGATTTATATGCTATAATTTTGCTAGAATGTCAAGGAAAGATGCAAACTTTCTTGTATGATCTTCGTTCGCAAGTTCATAATTGTTGCAATCTAGTGGAAAAAGTTGCTTGTAATTTGCGAATAAGTTTTATACCTAATTTCTTCAACAGCAAACTGTATCAAGCAAGAACAACTAAGTGGATTTTGTTATTTATATTCTATTGTCATCTGCTTGCGAGTTGCGGCTTGATTTTTGTTTAATTGTTAATTGACTAATTATTTTTCTCAAACAGAATTACTTGTAGAACTAATGGCTATATTATATTCCCTTTTATTATGCCCCATTTTTTACAATATGCAAACTTGTGCATATATCATATATGTTCTAAATGCCTCCTCAAACTTTATAAGCAGAGTTACGGCCTTCACCTCTTTAATAGGAAGAAAAGGCACCAAAGCATAGTGAAGGCAAATTTTCTCACTTTGTCACGGTCTTTTGGATTCCCATACTTTGATGAGCTTAAACACTGGAAATAGTTTTCTTGGTTTGGAAATATATGCTTCAATTAGGAGTTGTAAACTGAAATGTTGCTAGAATTACAAGGAAAGATTCAAACTTTTTTAGTTTGTTGATGATTGTATGATCTTCCTAAGTTCATAAATGTTGCATTTTAGTAAAACCATTACTAGCTTAGAATTTTTAGTTATTTGATTGTGCCAAATTCTGCGTTTAAGTTGTATCTTTTTGTTTAGAATAGTAAAGTACAAATTTGAGGGGATTGGAATGTTATTTTTTTTTACAAATTTTTATGTTTATTGGATGATTAGGGTTCTTTTCACTTAAGATGATATTCAAATTTATTAAATAAATTGTTGCAAGAATTACTAGGCATGATGCAAACTTTATTGTTTTTGATGATTGGAGATCTTCCTAAGTTCTTAATTGTTGTGTTTTAGTAAAAACATTACTAGCTTAGAATTTTAAGTTAATTGATTGTGCCAAATTCTGCGATTAAGTTGTATACTTGTATCTTTGTTTAGATTAAGTAAAGTGACAATTTTGAGGTGACTGGAATCATTTTTAGGATCTATGTAAAATTGATGATTAGAAGGGTTGTTATTCACTTACTATGATAATTTATGATTTACATACTGGAATGTTGCTTGTATTATAAGGAATGGTTTGAGCTTTATTGTTTGTTGATGACTATATGATCTTCCTAAATTCGTAAGTGTTGCAATCTGGTGAAAAAGTTACTTGTAATTTAAGGATGAGTTTCATACCTAAATTCTTCAATAACAAACTGTATTAAGCAAGAACAAGAGAGTGGCTTTGGTTATTATATTGTCATATGCTTGCGGCTTGATCTTTTTCTTAATTATTAATTGACTAATTAATTTTTTGAGACAGAATTACTTGTAGAACTAATGGCTATATTATATTCCCTTTTGTTATGCCCTTTTTTACATATGCAAAATTGTGCATATACTCATGTTCTAAACCCCTCCTCAAATATTTCTAAGAGGAGTTATGGCATTTACCTCTTAAATAGGAAGAGATGGCACTAGAGCATAGTGAAGGCAAATTTTCTCACTTTGTCACGGTCTTTCGGATTCCCATACTTTGATGAGCTTAAACACTGAAAATAGTTTTCTTGGTTTGTAAAGATATGCTTCAATTAGGAGTTATGTTGTAGCTTTCCTTTGTTTTTGTTCTCATTGTTAATACTTAGTAATATATAGATGAATGAATGTTGAATTACTGATTATATTGTCAAGGTGTCATATTAAGTTTACACGTAGTGAGACGAACTTGTTTTGTGAAAGTAAAAATAAAAATAAAATCAATAAGTAGAAGTTTTGTCTAACTCATAGGACCTACAAAGTAGAAGTTTTCATAGGACCTACAAAGTAGAAGTTTTCATAGGATCTAACAAAGTAGAAGCTTCACCTATCTCATAGGATCTAACAAATTAGAAGTTTTGCTTATTTCACAGGATCTAATGAAGTAGGAGTTTTTCCTATCTCATGGTTTCTAGGCCGGCTGGTTGTTTTGACAAACAGAGACATTTTTATTTATGTTCAATGAATGAAGGATAACTTTAACATAGTGGATAGCAGGATGCATTGCAATCTCTCTTAACTTGAAATACATGTCAGTCTAGGTATCCACGCGCATTTTAGTTTGGATAGTTATGCTTACATTGTTTAGCATGAGATAATTCTTTGAGGGAACAACGAAGTTTGTGCTTGAATCTACATGCAAGCTCCGTTTGTTTGAATGAGAATATCATTCATGGAAAATCATCTTCCATGGTTTACTATGTTCAAGGATAGAAATGGTTTTCTTTTGTTTGTTCCCTTGCAAGAAAAGTTACGGAGGAAGAAGGAAATGGAAATGGGAAGGAAGAAAATGGATGGGAGGAAAGAAGAGAAGAAAAGAGTATAAAGGAAAATGTAGCATTCCTCCCTTGAGAAATGAATATTGTTTTCAACCCTTAGAAAGCTATTTTCCACCTTTAGGAAAATTATCTCTAACAATCAAACAAAGGAAAATTACTGTCTAGGAAATGTAAGTTATCAAACATAAAAATAAAAAATGATAAAAAAAATAAGAAGATCCTGGAAGGTCTACCTTAGCCCTTGGAAGTTAAGTTTATTACTTAGTATAAGTATTGTCACTTTGCATTGTCCATTGGAGTCAAATGCAAGATAAGTAACAACGTTGTTTGATTGTTAGTTAGTTCATGTGTGAATGAATGCATGTTTTAGTTATATTTGTTTCATGTAAATCTATCCTCTACATTTAATTAATGAATTGATTGATTATAGATTGTAAACCTATTTGTTCGTTCTTCATAGGCCCAGGGTGGTCGCCCCTCCTGCCCTGTGTCAGGGACGGGCTTGCTTATTTCGTAGGTGCTCTCAAGAATGGCTTGTGTAGATCCTTCGAACATGACTTGCAATGCCAACATGAAGAAAATCTTACCTTTGGAAGACATGGTAAGTTAAGTTTATAGTCATTATAGACATCCATGTATATAAATAGAGGGTTTGTCGATTAGCTTGCAGATTGATGGAGAATTTGTTATGCGTTAAATGCTATACTTGTTTGGTAGCCTGATAGATGAATCTTTGTTAGCTTGATGATTTAGTCATTTTTGATATCTGACAGGCCTGAGTTGAATACACATTTCTTATACTATATTTTAGGACAATTTGGAAGGTGTGGATCAAATCAATGAGTTGCCAGAAGATATCATGCTGACCTTACTGTTGAAACTAGAGATGAAAGAGGCAGCCAAAACTAGTATCCTGTAAAAAAGATGGAGGTACATTTGGACCAACTGGACTGATTTCGACTTTGACTGTTTAAAAATATTCCCAGAATGTATGTATAATGGTGATCCAAAGCTGATTGAAGCAGTTAAATATATTAATTGGGTTAATCAGGTAATAAGGCTGCATAGAGGCCAGTCTATCAATAAGTTTACAGTCCAAAGTGGCTTTTATGAAAGGCAGGTGCATCATATTGACAGATGGGTTAAATTTGCTTTGACAAAGAAAGTGAAGAACCTGGAGCTGGAGTGGCCGGATTCGCCATTGCGTTATTGTCCAGGGGAGGCTTACACTCTGAAGCCTTCATTGTTTGAAAGCGGCATCAGTTTTCTTACTTGCTTGCGTTTGATTGGTGTTAATGTTAGTGGAGAGTTGCTTGAATTTTTGTTGACAGAATGCCACCATTTAGAACAACTTTTTGTAGAAGGCTCTAAAACACTTGTGAGCTTGAAGGTTGCGTCTTTCAAGTTGAAACAATTGTCAATACACTATTGTAGTTCATTGAATAAACTTGAAATTGATGTTGTGAATCTTTGTTATTTGGATTATTTTGGCAAGCCGATTATTGAGTTCAAAAGTTTGCCATTATCACTTGTTGAAGCAGCTTTTGATGGAGAATGTTGTCGTGCCACAACTCCAATATGTCAGCAAATTGCGTGTTTTGCCATGCAACTATCCAAATTTTCTGTTCGCTTCATGATAAATTTACAACCGGTTAGTGCAAGGATGCTACAGTTTTATTTTTTCAGAAAATTGTTTGTTTGTTTTTTTTTTCTTTTCTTTTTGGGTTGGTAATTATGTGAATTTAAGCTCCTAACCCTTGACTATATTCATGACACAGGGGGAACATGTCATTTGTAATATTCCTGCTAAAAGTCTTCCATGCTTCAGCAACTTGAAATTTTTGGAGCTGACTTATTGGCTTGATTCGATAGTTGATACTCCTAGTATCATAAGATTATTTGGGGCATGCCCGGTGTAGTGTGAATTCAAGCTGCAGGTAAATAGTCTAACCTTCAAATTTTAGAATTTTAAGTGTTTTACTTTACTGCTACTGTGCATTGTTCCATTTCATTTACAATTCCAAAACCAATAATTCTTCTACCAAACTCTTTCAATAGCTTAGTTTCTGTTGCTAGATCTATGCTTGGACATGAAATTTGTTAATATAATGGTTAAAATACCTAATTTTTTTAATGGGTTTGATGTTCATCGTGTTGCAGGTTTGTTGGATTAGTGCATCGTGTCTGCCAGAGGAGGCTCGAGTGTTGTAGGGATTGGAGCCCTTATCATTGATGAACCCGCGAGAGGGCAACAATCGCAACATTTATATTTATGGTCATAGTTTGGAAGAGGACAAGATAGAATACAAAGCTTTACCATGTCTGAGGGTGTTCCAACTTGTTGGGTTTGTTGGAGTTGATGATGATTTGAATTTGATACGAACCATTTTTGATATGGTCGTCCAACTCCATAGTTTCATATGTCACCCTTTAACGCCCTTATTCGGGTGTATTACAAAGGATGCGGCTCATGAATCTAGAAGCCGTGCAACAAAGCTTCAAAGTTTTATTCCACCCAAAGTGAACTATGTTATCACCAACACTTATAATGCTGTGGATTTGATGTAAAACCTTTGTGCTCTTTAAAACTTTTAAGTGTGTTATTAATTATTAGGGTTTCAACCTGTGTGGTGCACGGGTTTTGTCTGTATTTCAAGATTGATGTGAAAGATAATGATTTTAATTATAAATAAAATGATACTTATGATCATAAATAAAAGTTTGATGATAATTTTCTAATAATATATTTTGCATACACTATTTGTAAGGAAATAAAATAATCCATAATAATATTTAATAATAATGCGAGTGTCGTCTGTCATGTGCACATCATAATGTAGGAGAAAGTGAGTTATTATAAATAAAAGAGTGCATCTATATCAGCAAGAATACAAAGTCAGTTATTATATATAAATAAAATAAATGATAATAAATCAGCAAGAATACACATGGACATGGTGAATCAACCATTAATGATATATCAAAACATTTTCCCAACATGTAATAAATTATTGTGGGGCCAATGATATATTCATGATAATTAATGTGATTCTGTAGAGATAAAAATGAAAAAACATATTGGCAAAAAAAAATGATTTAATCCGTAGTTTAGAAAGATGTCACATGGGGAAAGCAAACGACCCTGTTCTTTTGAACTTTAGGGTAGGATAAGGCAGAGCAGATTTCAGCATTATTATTATTATTATAATAATATTTTTTATTTATTTTTTCTTCTTCTTCTTTTTATTTTTTATTTTTTTTTAACAACAGCAGAAACAAAGGAAAAAAGAAAACAACTAAAAAACATCAAAAACAGGTGTAATGGAGAAACTATTCAAAGTAACCCAACACTGGTTAGCTATTTGGTGGGGGGTACGAACTTCCGCTCTATCAACCTTGAGGATGACGCGGTGTTGAAAGATGCTCCCTATCCTAATAATCTCCTTCAAAGTCTAGAAAAGGTAAATATCCGAGGGACTCTTGTTTCTAATAGCCATGACAAGTAAAGCGTAATAACTTTTATTGACCGGTAGCCATTGTCACTGGCCCACCTTAAAGCGTAAAGGCAAGCCCACAACTCAATTTGCAAAGCTGAAGCCGCTGTTCTAGAGAAACCTCCAGCCTTCATTTCACCATGGTTTAGAAGCTCGATCGTCCATCCGACCCCATTGTGTTTACTAGCCTTGTGCCATGAGCCATCAACTCGAATAATACTTAGAGCTAATGAGTCATTAAAAAGTAGGACATGATCCAGTTGTCCTAATGAAGCCTGTAAAAATCCCGGAGAGGGGGGGGGGGGTAAAGGTCAAATCAGTAGTGTTTGGGGTAAAAATCTCCTATGCCACGTGGCCCAATAGCAAGCTGATACGTGTCAGCCCCATAGAGGCCCAATGGGATCCAATCGGATGCGGACACGTGGCACTGTAACCCTAACAGTGGAGCAGATCTCCTTCTAGTATAAATAGAGGAAATTCCTCATTTATTATACATACACAAAACATTCAGAAATATACACACAAAAAAACGAGCAATCTTAATTGCAGAATTCTCTCTGAATCAGAGAGAAAAACCATTTACTTTCTGCACTTTTAACCATCCGGACACGTTCTAACTTGATCGTCGGAGGCGGAACTCCACCCTATTTTGCAGATACAAACGGTCGGCGCGCATTCCCAGAATTGTTACTCTCCCGAGGGACTCTAAAAACCCGAAACATTTGGCGCCGTATGTGGGGAGAGTACTTCTGAGATGGCATCCGAATCTGTATCGACTGGTGAAAGCAAGCGGCCTACGCTTGACCCTGAGGTCCACACGGACCAGGATAATGGTGACGACTTTGAGGTTGACACCTATGTGGCCCCAGACGGGTCACTTCGAACAAGGCGCACCTATTCCAAAGAAACAAGAGAGCGGTGCGAAGACAAAGCTGGTCCCAGCAACCCAGCCGACAAGCTTGCTGGGCGACCCCAGGCGGCGGAGGGTACTACCCCCGTCACCAGAGACGAGCTCATGAAATTCATGACGAGTTTCAAAAGGGGAAATCAAGGACATAATAAAAAAGTTAACTGGCTCAAACAAGGGTCAGTTGGCCAAAAAGCCTTCTCCCTCCGGGAAGAAGCACATCAAAGACCGGGTGCCTACTCCTCACCCTAAACCAAAGGGGACGGATAGGCCCCTAATCGACCTTTCAAGACTTCGTTTCCCTGAATCAGGGCAAAGGAAGGCCATCCGGCAAGTACAGCCGGATAGGTAAAAAAAGACTTACTCTGACGCCCGGATGTTCATCCAGGAGAAGAAAAGTCAAAAAATGTCTAAGTCGGCCTCCACGTCGACTTACCCAGACAGTTTTCGTAATACTTCAATGAAAAATTCGGAGACAAACCGAGAGAATCAGTCACACGACATATCCGCGCGTACTGGCCCTCAAATTATCCACCTGGCTTCGTATGTGCCCCAACAACCATACATGCCGTATGGATCACCATACATGCAGCCAACCCTCTTTGGGGGTCAGGCGGCACATCAGGTCCAGCCTATGGACTGGCAGCTCCGGCTGCTTAACCTTGGGGAACAACCGTTAGCGTTCTCCAGGGAAATAACCGAGGCGGCTCAGCCGGCCCAGGTAAAGAATGTGTTGGTCTGTACCTACGACGGTACCACCAACCCGGAAGACCACCTAATGGCTTACACCAACCTCATGTACCTACAGGGGTTGGAAGACGGCGCCTGGTGGCGATGCTTCCCGGCAACATTGAAGAGCATAGCCCAACGATAGTTTGGCAATCTGCCATCCGGGTGCATCAACAATTTTAAGAAACTTGCATACCTGTTTGCGTCCAACTTCTCCATGAACATCCCTGCCAAAAAGACAAGTCTTGACCTAGGGGCTATTCAGCAGGGAGACAAGGAGGGACTACGGTCCTACGTCAGGCGATTCAATCTGATGAGAATTCAGATTCAGGGGCTGTCTGACGAAAGTTGCATACAAAGACTTCTTCAAGGGTCTGAAGGATGGGTCGACCTTTAAGTTCGACCTCGTCCGCAAGAGGGTTGTTACCCTCCAAGAGGCGTTGATGGAAGCCGAAGCCTATATACAGGCGACGGAGCTCTGTGCCATCAAGCACTCGTCGGAACCTAGATGGTCCGACAAGAAAGAGAGTCGGCCTGCTCAGCCGGACAAAAAGGAAGAGGGCAAGAAAAGAAAAGAAGTCTGGATGGCAAATCGCTCTAGTCAGCCATCCTAGAAGAAACAGAGAAAGCTGGAGCCATACATCCCCAAGTACGAGTTCAATAAAGACTGCTCCTCCATCCTCATGGAGATCAAAGACCGGTTAATAATTGAAAAACCGGCAGCAATGAAGAGTTCCATCAAGAACCGGGACAAGAGCAAGTACTGTCAGTTCTATGAGGATGTCGGCCATGACACCAATGGTTGCTATAGCTTCAGGCGGCTATTGGACCGTCTGGCTGATGAGGGGGCTTTAAAGTCCTATCTGGTAAAGTCCAAGGGTAACCCCAAATCAAACAGTGGACAACCGTCCAAGAAGCCGGCTGTGAGCTCTGATAATGATGAAGAGCAAATTTTCACCATAGCAGGCGGTTTTACAAGCGGAGGTCCTACCATCCGGGGTACTAAGGACAACATCCGGAAGCTGGTCAACTTAGTAGATGAGGGTCAGGCGTCGAAAGACACCTTCCCTGAGGTCCTCATCTCTGAGAAGGATTGGGGCCAGGTCAGGCGGCCTCATGATGACCCAATCGTCATCGAATGCAAGGTTGCCAACCAATGGGTGGGCCGGATCCTCATTGATACCGGGATCTTGTCTAACCTGATCAGCTACCAGTGCTTGGAAAAGCTCAAGTACAAGCCTAGCAGTATGCACAAGGCTTCTCATCCCCTAGACGGCTTTAGGGGAGGAGTAGTGCATCCGGTGGGGAGGATTGACCTACCCATCCGGCTAGGAGAGAAAGGGGAAGGACGGAACATGGTCGTCAAATTCTTGGTGGTCGAGGAATTGACCGCCTACAATCTTATCCTTGGCCGTCCAACCCTCAACGAGTCCAAGGCAGTCATCATCCCATCCCTCATGCTGATCAAGTTTGAGAGGGATGATGGGTCAGTGGGTTCCCTGAATGGGGATCAGAAGACGTCTAGAGAGTGTTACCTCTCAGACGTCAAGCCTACTGTGGCCGCAGCCGGGCAAGGCGAGGAACTCATCGACCTTGATGACTTCAAGGAAGTCGCGCTTGCTCCCAAAGCAGCCGACAAAAAGAGAAAGGCAGACCACTTGGTGGCCGTAAGAAAAGAGAAGCAATAGCAATCACTCATCGGGGAACGATCAAATGATCTCCGTCCCCAGCCGGCTGGTGATAATATTAACGTTATTCTAGATGACAGCCGTCCGGAAAGAACCGTCAA